ATGTTCCCATGACAAAACAAAACAACAACAACAAAAAGCTACAAAGATGCTAACAGGGCCTGAGATACTTGTGGGACATCATCAAATGGACCATCATATACACTGTTGGAATTTTAGAAGGTGAAGTTAATAAAATTATTGTTTAAAAAAATAATAAAGAATAAAGCTCCTAAATTTGATAAAAGGCCTAAGTCTACAAATCTTAGATGAACTCCACATATGATAAAACCAGAGATCCCACTGAAACACATGATCAAACTGTCCAAAGACTAAGCAAGTCTTGAAAGCACTAAGAACAAGTTGACTTAGCTGTATACAGGGGATCTTCAGGAAGACTGCAAGCTGATTTCTCAATAGATGCCTTGAAGGCTAGAAAAATGTGGGGTAGTACCTTTGTGTTGAAAAACAATAACTCTAAACCAAGAATTCTATATCCAGCAAAACTGTCCTTCAGAAAATGTGGCAGGGGGCCAGCTGTGATGGCACAGCAGCAACACAGTACTCCATGAGGCCGAGCCCATGTTGGAAGGTCCCAGGTTTGTGTACTGAGGTCTCCCTGTACACTCTAGGCAAGCATGCATATGCCTATGATCCCAGCTGGCTGGGGCTGGTGGGCATAGGATCATGGCATGAAAACCCTGTTGGGGAGGACCAGCAGTTACATAATGGCTATGTTGCTGGACTCCCATGTAGTGGACCGTGGTTCGAGTCCCGGACCCAGTGGCTTAAACTCACGCTGGACACATGTGCGTGCGTGCCCAGGATCCCAAGAGGAGAATGGAGGAGAAGGGATTGCGACGTGGCCATCCCCCCGGGGGGTGATTTCTCGCTTTCTATCTCTCTGTCTGTCTCTGTCTGGTGAGCGCACATGCCCTATAGCAAAAACCTCCCAAAAACAAAACAAAACAAAACAAAACCCAATTGGGGTGCTTGTCTCCTTCCTTTCATTATGGAAGAAAGAAATTTGAAAAAAAAAAAAAAAAGGCAGAAATTAAGACACTGCTAGGAAAACAAAAGCTTAGGGAGTTTACTACTACTAGACCTCTTCAGAATATGAAAGGGTGTCCCTCAGGTTTAAATGCCAGATGGTATTGGGCTCCCAGGAGGCCAAATGCAGTTCGAATCTTGGAGCTGGTGACTTGCTTTCTCACTTTCCCCCTCTCTCTGTGTTTCCCATGAGTGCATGTGTCTTATAACAAAAATTAAAATAATAATAAATAAAATAAAATTCTTAAAAAAGGAAAAGAAAATGCTAGACAGTAATTCAAAGCTATACAAAGATGTCAAGATCTACAGTAAAGATAATTACATGAGTTAGTACTATTATAATTTTGGCTTATGACTGACTTTATATTTTTTTACAGGATTTAAAAAAATACATAAAAGTCAGTATGAATCTGATATTTGGCATGAGACGTATAAAGATGTAATTTATGACATCAGTACCACAGAGGGCTGGAGTAGAGCTCAGTCGAGTTTCTGTATGCAGTTGAAGCTACACTGGTATCAATTCAGTTCATTGTTGAATCCCCATGGTAACTACAAAGAAAATATCTGTAAGAGTGTACATCAAAGGCAATGTAAAGGGAATCAAAATGTGTCACTACAAAAACCAATTAAACATAAAATAGACAGTGGTGAAAGAAATGGACGAACAGCTGTAAGACATAAGGAAACAAATAGCAAAACGGCAAAATCTTTATCAGTAATTGTAATACTTTAAATATGTTAAACGCCGTGAACAAATGGGATTTACATTTCAAACGCAAAGATGATTTAATGTATAAAAATCAATTAAAGTATTACACCATATTAAGAAAATGAAGAAATAAACCACATGATTATCTCAACTGGTACAGAAAAAAACCATTTATTTGACAAAATTAAACACTCTCTCAGCCAGGCAGTGGTGCCGTGGTTAAGGTGACTGAATCCTATTAACACATGGCTGACTGAGCTGGTGGACTACTAGACCCGGCAGCTTGAAAAACATGCTGGTTGCATGTGTGTGTGTGCATGTGCGCCCAAAATTCTGAAAGAATGGACGGAAGGGATTGCAGTACAACCACTCCACCCCACCCCCTGTGCCCACCCCTTGGGGTTGCTTACTCACTTTCCCTCTCTCTCTGTGTTAAGAACACATGGCCTCTAGCAAATTAAAGTAAAAAAGAAATTCAGCACCCTCTTTTGATAAAAACACAAAGTAGACTTAAAAGGAACTTCCTTAACCTAACAAAGGCCATGTATGAGAAACCTAGAGCTGACATCACGTCCAGTGTTGGAAGACTGGACGCTTTTCCTCTAAGATCTAAACAAGACGAGGATGCCCACTTTGACCATTCCTATTTAACACAGTATTAGAGTTTTTAGCCAGAGCAATTTGGCAAGAAAAAGAAAAGGGAAAAAAAGTATTGACGCTGGAAAGGAAGAAGTAAAATTAGCTCTGTTTGTAGGTGGTGTTATCTTATATGTAGAAAGCCTAAAGATTCCACACAGAACAAAGTTAGAACAATGAATTCAGCAAAGTTGCAGGATATAAACTGGCACCCAGAACTTCTGGTTTCCAGTCTGGTAGAAGTCCTTGCTCCATTCCTAACAACTTGAAAATCTACAACTCTTCTTAGATCTGTCAGAGGCTTAATGTCACAGTTGAAAATTTTGCCCTCAAATTGGGAGGACAGAAGGCAGATTCCAGTGATTGCCAACCTGCCATAGCAGAGACTACATGGGGAACAGTAGGGAAATCTACGCTGGCATCAACTAACTATTGGAGGCTCAGTGTAGACAAGTCTGAGAGAAAGACACAAAGGGTGCCCATCACTTTTGGGAGTTTTACCGCCAGGAGCCCTGCCAGGACGGTCAGGGCAGGCTGGAGAAAAGTCCTCTTATTCTGTCAGCATCAGTATAGCCATTTAAAATATTTCTAGAACATTCTGTTTTAAGTTTTTATTTCTTCCATGGCTGAGTGTGAGCGAGTACATACTCCCAACGGGATGGTGCACCCCAGCTTCTGCAGCGCCAGGTCTTGGGCAGGTGTGTACCCAGCACACTCCTGGAGGTCTTCAACGTGAAACTGACACTTTCTCATGTGGCTGAGCCTCATGGAGTGTTGCATTGTACCCCGGCACCACTGTCTGACCCCTGTATTCGGTGCAGAACAAAGCCTGCCCTGAAGATAACCTATTTTACCAGAGCCTAACCTACTGGGATTTTATTCCAGTAGGGCCTAAGTGATGTGAGGACAAAGAAATACCCAATCCTAGCTCCCTCTCTGTGCTGTCCATAAGGGGAGTGCAGTCTGAGAAGCACCTGTGAAGGTCAGGGGTGTAGGCTCTCTAAAAGACAGAGTTTAGTCACAGTGCCACACCTTCCCACTCGCTAACGACCTGGTTTCTGCGGTTCATTTACTCCGTACATTACAGCTTGCTTGTAACATGAAAATTATAAGGCACGTGAAAAGGCAGAACACAGTTTGATGAGCGAGAAGCATCAGAACTTCAGAGTAGCAGAGGTGCTGGGGTTATCAAGTGGGGGATTTGAAACAACCGTGATTAACATGCCAAGGGTTCTAATGGAAAAAATAGACACTACCTAAAAAGAGGTGGACAGTACGGAGAACTGGGCATTCTAAGAAAGAATGAAAAAGAAATGCTAGAGACCAGAAACTAACAAATAAAAAATCCTCTGCTGGCCTCATTAATAGACTGAGCACAGCTAAAGACAGTCTGTAAGTTTGAGAATATGTCAGTAGAAATTTCCAACCCTGAAAGCACAGAGAAAGGTGTGGGGGGGCAAGCTCTCCGAGAACGGTGGGACAGCTCCACAAGGGAGGGGTAATGTGGGTAATGCTAATACCAGAAAGAGAAGGGGGAACAGAAGAAATATTTGAAGCAGTGGCTGGAAATTTACCCGATTTAATGTCAGATTCCAAACCTGGTCCAGGAAGCTCAGAGAACACCAAGCAAGACAATGGCCAGTCATTTTCAATTGTGTGGAAACAACCACACGCCAATTGCAAGGGTTTCGGTGTGTCCCTCTGTCGTGAAGATCACACTGTGAGAGCTGTTTGAGGTCACCCTCCACAGAAGGAGCCTGTGTGGCCTCGGCAGGTGTCAGAGTACCCCACACTGTCCTCCGTCAATGGGGCCCTTCAGATGGACGAGCGACAGAGTGCTGACAGGCACGGGGTGCATCTCTGCTAAGAGAGCGCTGCTCATGGCTGCCCAGAACACTAAAGCATCTCACCGTGTCCTGGCCCTGCAGCCCTTGTTCGAGAGACTAGCAGCCGTGCAGGCTTACTTGTGCTTTCCATGTCTTCTTATTAGATTCTTCAAGGTTGTTGTTTTTTTTTTTCCTTTTTGAATGAGTGAAGTGTTAGTAAATAAGAAAGACCAGAATGTCTGCTTGGCGTGACACACGTAGGTGGACCATTACATAAGATCATGGAAGGAAAAGAGCGATGGCTGTGGCCACCAGTCCCTTACTAATGTACGGGAGGCAGGAAGCAGCTCCGAGAACCCAGTGTTCCTTCACGTCCCTTTAGCTGGTTAACTAAGCCAAGATCCACTCAAGAGTTTTCTGGAGGAGGCTTTCTTGTTTGGTTGGTTGGTTTTTGTTTCCACCAGAGGGCATGTGCACTCACTAGAAAGAGAGAGAGGGAGGGAGGGAGGGAAGGACAGGGAGGGAGAGGGAGCATTCCCCAGGGGCGGGTGGCCATGCTGCAGACCCTTCGCCTCCATGCCTCCATTCTCCTCTCGGGATTTTGGCATGCATGCACACGTGCCCAGTGTGACTTTCAGGTCGCCAGGTCCGGGGATTCGACTATGGAGTCTGTCTGCTCTGTGGTACCCAGCACCTTAACCTCCACACGACCTGCTGGCCCATGAAGACCTTCTTTGAGCATGGCATATGTTAGAGGCCAGGTAGCCAAAGAACATTTCACAGGTGGTCACCATACCTGTGTGATCTCTCCAAGGCGAAGTGAGAAATTCTAAGCCACGATGCACTGGTTTCCAGTACTTACTGAAGCCCGAGTCTGGCTGTTTGTGGACTGGATCGCTGTGCAAGTAGCGTGTCCTGGCTTCATCGGTAGTGTAGACTTAGCTTCATGAAACTCACCACATTGTCATTTCTCATTTCACCAGTTAGTGGGGATGTCTTCACAGGCTGGAACTCCCAGGTTAGATGCTGATTCATTAAGGGTGGGCTCTTGGCTGGTTGGAATCTGCCCAGAGTGTTGATGCCATCCTGAGGGAAAAGTTCCAGGCCAAGAGTGTGGACTGATCCCTGTGGTGCTGAGGGAGTGGCCTACCTTGTGGTGCTGAGGGAGTGTGGACTACCTCCTGTGGAGCTGAGAGGGTGTGGACTACCCCTGTAGCGCTGAGGAAGTGGCCTACCCTGTGGTGCTGAGGGGGTGTGGACTACCCCCTGTGGCACTGAGGGCACCTTTTAGGATTTGGAGCCTGGAGGAGAGGAGGAGACAGGAGGGAGGAATGGCAGGGGGCAGCCCTTGCTGACTGGACGAGAGATGAGAGATGTCGAAGGGATTAATGATGGGGCCGGCCAGTAGCAGGTGGTTGAGGCACTGGACTGTCACATGGCTGACCGTGGTTTGTTTTCCGACCTTGCAGTTTGCTTTCTCACTTTCCCTCTCTCTAACTTTGGTCAAATTAAATATTTCAGTAAGTAAAATGAATAAAATATATGGTTTTTGCCACAGGGTATGTGCGCTTGCCAGAGAGAGAGAGACTGAGAGGGCAGATGAGAAATTGCCCCACGGGGAGGATGGCCACTCCGCAACCTCTTCTCTGTTGTTTTGGAATTCTGGGCACGCACACACACACATACACACGCACCTGTTGTGCTTTTCAAGCCACCAGATCCAGGACTTGAACTGTGGTCAGCTGTGGGGTGGGGTGGTCTAGTACTTTAACCACTATGCCACCTGCTAGCCCCAATAAAGTAGTTCTTTAAGAAAAAAAGAAAGGATTAATGATGGCCCTAAGCTAGAAGGTATGCTTAGAGGAAAGGCGCTAAATGTTTAGGGAGCTCGTTCTGGGGCTGAGGATGGGAGCGGACTCTCGGGACTGCTCTTTCTCTCGCTCTTGTTTCGTACAGGAAGGGCAGACTGACAGCAGTCAGCTTGCTGTGCTGAGAATGCTCCGGAATACATTTCCCACCCTCTGTGGTTAGTGACTAGCCTCCACTGAAGGGAGACCTGACCGTGGACCCAGGTGTCTGCTGTTCTGGGCATGCACTGTCTCTGACTTGACTTTTCTTTCTGCCTTCAGGCTGCTTGATAGGGGCTGTGAATCTCAAATCCAGCAACCGAAACCCCGTGGTGCAGGAGTTTGAAAGTAAGTACAAGGGAGACACTGGGGAGAGCGGGCGCCATCTAACGGGCGTCCCAGCTCCTGCATTCACCTTGGACAGGCACATCGACCACATAGTACAGAGCCAGGAAGGGACACGCAGCGCACGTGTGCCCAGGAGGTGCATGCACCAGCAGGCCAGTGGCGAGCTCTCAGTGGGTTTTACGTTAGCTGTGTGCTTACACAACAAAGAAATCCTTATACACAAATAGGGGGCTTAAGAGCAGGTGCGTACTTTGTCATAAAAATCCTCGCTAATTGGCTTCATTTTTTCTTTTGTTTCTTTTTGGCAAAAAGCTCACCTTTTCTCCCAGTGTCGTGGAGCCTGGTAGTGGTTGGTATTTAATCTTCCTGAAAGGCCCTCTTCATGAGGACATGGCATACAGGCCTGGGTGTACAAGTGACCCAGCAACACTCCAGTCACCGAATTCTTGTCCCTTCTTTACTCACCAGGTGTGGAACTGTCGTGCATCATTACGGATTCACACGCAAATGACCTCAGGATTGAATGGAAGAAAATTCAAGATGGTGAAACCGCATATGTGTTTTTTGAGAACAAAATTCAGGGTATGGTCCTGGAGTCCCCTCTTCTTGCTGATCCGCCCTCTGTCCCCAGGCCTGGGTGAGGCACTGTGGCTAGAGTTTATCTTGAACTGCTACCTTGCTTCTGTCTTTTAAAACCAATTAATATGGAAAGTTTTGAATATACAAAAGTAGTGTGAGTATATTATCAAGTCTTCTTGTCACCCAGCTTCAGCAGGTGACAGGGGAGGGGTCAGGATTTCAGTGTGACCGCAGCCGGTCCTTGGAGAAGTTGAAACACTGTGCGAGGTCCCTTCTGATCATCATGGTCTGTGACATGAGTGCTGTCAGTCAGTCAGAAGGCCTGTGTGGCAGCCAGGGGACAGCGTCTACAAGCCGGCCACCTGACCCAGGAGGGAGCACCTGCAGACAAGGCAGCACAAGGCAGCCAGGGTGCCCTGACTGAGGCGCAGGGGAGTAGGCAGAGAAGGGCCCAGAAGTGGCCTCTGTACAGTGGCCTGAAGAGCAGCTGGTCTGCAAGACTGTGAGGGCAGTGTGGAGCAGGGAGGATGCAGAGGCCTCTGTGATGGAAAGGCTGCTGGTTCTCACCCCAGTGGAGACTCGGGCCAGGGAGAGGGAGGAGGCAAAGCTGGAGGCAAGGCTGGAAGGACCCACCTGGACCCTCCCAGCCAGGTGAGGGGGTCTGCGGGGACGTGATAAGCTCACATCTGTGCTTTGGAAGGTTGAGGCGGCTGCTGTGTGGAGAAAAGGCTGAGATGGGCAAGAGTCAGAGCAGGCAAGGGCAGAGTCCTTTTATAGACCCCAGCAGGGAGCCGCCACCCGGATCGGAGCGGAGCAGTGGACAGCTGGCAGGGGGAAATGCTAGGACCTGGCCACGCACAGGGAGTGTGGGGAGGGACAGTCGGCCTGGAGTGGGAGGAAGGATGGACTTGGCCCTCTTCGGACAGGAGGGCCAGAGCAGGAGGTACAGACGCAGGCGTGTTCCTGAGCGAGCGAGTTCCGAGTTCAGAGTTGGGAAGTCTGTGAAGACAGTCTAGACTGCGATATTCCTGCTTTGCGTCCTTGTTAGCACCAGGAGTTCTAGGCTCTTATGAACAGTTTTGTTTTGCCTTTCACATGGGGTCACTCCTTCATTTCTTGTTTTTGAAGAGAGAGAACTGGTATTCCAGAAAACAGACCCGTTTTCTTGGCCTCTGACTGACCCTGCTAAACCTGAACATGAGTTTAGATCCATCTCCATCAGAGAAGCCAAGTGAGAAGTTCTCCAGAGCGCTTGCTCTTTCTGAGAATTCAACATCTGCCTCTCGGCCATCGGGATGGGGGCACACGGAGGCGTGTTCACTGCACGGGACGCAGAGCTGTGGGAAGGGGGAGTCCGCTGGCCGGCTTCTTTGCTCCAGGCAGCCCTGGACCCACAGCACCCTGGTAGATTCTGTCTGCCATTTTCTTGCATGGAAGAAGTCCATGTTATTTATTCTCTTTTTTTAAAGAATTATTTATTTTGGGGGACCAGCAGGTGGCATGGTGGTTAAGGTGCTGGACACTCCCACATGGCTGACCAGGGTTCAAGTCCTGAATCTGGTGGCTTGCCTTCTCACTTCCTCTCTCTCTCTCTCTCTCTCCCTCTGTCTCTCTCTCTGGTCAAATTAAGAAATAAAGAATGAATAAATGAAATAAATAATTATTAAAAAAAGAATTATTTATTTTTAATTGTATTGATTCATTTACTTATTTTGACCAGACAGA